CTACACTGCTATGAGATAACATGGAGATTTATTTGCCATGGAAAGTTTTTAAAGCATATGCATTTAGTTTGAAATATAAAAATGGACATTTAAAGCATCTTTCAAAGCTCTTCTTCACCATTCATATAACAGTGACTGGTGCTCATTCCACTGGGGTGGGAAAGATAGACAATTCTATGGATTAAAACAGAGTCACAGCCTGCCTCCCAAGCACAAGGTCCTGAGTTCAATCCCCAGTACCAAAAAAATAAAAAATAAAGTCACAGAACCAACCTGCCACAGAGTCATAGAACTTAAGAGCTCTTAACACTAAAAAGTGTACCCAGTGCTTTCCTAAAAAACAAGTAATAATTCACATGAATTTATGTTGGATTAAATGGTAACAATATACCCTCTAAGGGTCAGGGATTTAGCTCAGTGGTTCCACCATCTGCCTCACAAACACAAGGTCCTGAGTTCGATCCCTGGTACCAAAAAACAAAACAAAACAATATACCCTCTAGTCTGGGCATTTTGAGATAAGGACAATTAATTAAAATGTTTGTAGAGATGGTACCTTGCAAGTGATACTCCTCACAATTCAGCTGATACCTAAGCAAAATTCATTTAGACTTTACATTCAACTTCTCCTTAGCTGTGATAAAGTCACAAGAAAGCTGAAGAAAATTTGCTCCAAAACCACTTGAATTAAAAGACCAACAAGGTAAGGAAGCTGTATTCCCCAGTATTTTCAGTAAGGTTGTCTTATGTGTTATATCTAATGACAATAAATAAATATTTTCATATATATTTCCTAAAGTAAAAATGATGAATACGAAAATGTGTTCAGAAATAATTACTACTAAAAAAAAAAAAGAAATAATTACTAATGAGCACCCTAGACTTGAGTAAAACATGTAGCCATCTATTTTTAATGAACCCACATAACAAGGGAAATGTTCTATGGAAAAATAAATGAAATGCATCTAAGCCTAAATTTTTTTCTGCCCAATCACCAAAATCCCCAAGTAGAAAACAGACTCACCACTCACCTTCAGGGCGTTCAACGAACAATCGCTTTAAGCTTTGGTAAGTGCCAATCTTGATGGTGCCATAGGAAGCCTGGCGTAACATTGCAGGGGCAATCCTGTTGAACCAAAATGCAAGGGGATAAAACAATCTAAAAACAACTCAAAATCCCCAGAGACCCATACGCAAGACCAGTGAAACTACACTAAAATGATTTCTTAAAATACAAAATGCAACAAAAAACAAATGGGTTCAGTGAAATTTGTGCCAATATTAGTTCAGTAAGTGGGAGATTAGCCTCATATAAATGCTCAGTGAAAATATAAATGAAAAGAATACATTTGTCCTTTCACATTTTCTTTAATTTTATGAGTACATGTTTGTAGTTTGTAATGATTACATTCACCATGGGAAGTCAGGACATGTACATAACATCATAATTTTTTAAACTAATTTTATTGGGACATTTTAGGTATACAATATAATGACATTCATCAATGGAAATTTGCACCTTTACATAATCTCTCTTGGTTCTTATTTTTCCCCCTTCCCCTACCCTCCCTTCAACCCCTCCATCCCTCCCTATTTAGAAAAACTTTGTTTCCAATTTTTCATTTTCTCACATTACTTCCGTTCCCTTCTTTCCTTTCCCCTACCTTTCCCACCTCCCCTTCCCCTCTGCCCCTTTTCTTCCTATTTCACATTATCTATTACACCTTTTAGTCCTTATTTACACTTTCAGTTTCACACACTAGAGAAACTATTCAGTATTTATTCATGTGTGTCCTATTTATTTCACTTAAAAGTATCACCTTAATGTGCATCCATTTAGCTATAAATGTCTCTAATTTCTCATTCTTTAAGGCTGAATAGTATTCCACTCTATTAAAAAAAAAACACATTTTCTTTATCCAGTCTCCAGTTGATGGGCAATTGGGCTGCTTCCAAGTTTTAGCTATTACAAACTGTGCTGCTATGAACATGGGTGCACATATATCACTGTGGTATGATTCTTTTAATTCTTTGGAGAAGATAACCAGCAGGGGAATAGCTGGATCAAATGGGACTTCCAGTCCTAGTTCTTCGAGGTATCTCCATACTGATTTCCAGTGGTTGCACCAGTCTGCACTCCCACCAGCAGTGGAGCAGGGTTCCTCTTTCCCTACAGCCCCACCAGCATTTGTTATTGGTTGATTTCATGATAGCAGCCATTCTTTCTGGAGTGAAGTGGAATCTCACCGTTGTTTTCATTTGCATCTCTCAAATGACTGGTGATGTTGAACATTTTTTCATATGTTTATTTGCTATTTCTACTTCTTTGCACTGAAACAGGAAAACCCTTGCATTTTAATGTAAGTGGGTATGAAAAGAAAATGAAGAGACACTTCACCTGTAATTCTGCCACTATGGAATTCATCTATGAACTCCTTGGGGACTTAGCTAGTTCGGGTTATTTCCTCTCCCTAAAAGCTTTGCTATCATAATACTGAAACAACTTTAAGACAGAATCAGGAAAAACAAGGCAACTTTCCTCCATCCTATATGCCACCCATCAAATCCTCCCCACCAGGAAACACCCCGTGGCATTTACATCCCCAGCTCTCTTTTTGCACCTCCCACTTCCCTCTACAATTACAATCTGGGTTCTCTCTAACCTCTCCCTCCACTCCCCCTCACCAAGGTGAACAAGTGGCAATTTTGCTGCTAAATTAAATGATGCTCTTCAGGTGGTCCTTGTATAACCTCTGCAGTGTTCACTCCTGGCCACCCTTGGCCCTCTGGCAGCTGTTTCCTTCCTGACAGGCAGTGGCACCATGCCATCTCACTTCTTTTCCCTAAGCATGGTAGCTGTGTCCTCTGGGATCTCTAGAATTCTGCCCTACCTTCTCTCCCCACTCCACACAGCCAATGCCTGACTTCATCATATACAACTATGGCTGCAACTAGCACCTGAACACTGATGACTCTGAAATCCCTGTTTCCAACACTGACCCAAAGACACAATTCCAATTTCCTAAGTTCTCAATTTAGATGACCTACATATACCCCCAGGTCAAATGTCCCACACTGATGTAATTATCTTTTTTCTCCCAGAAAATGAACTCTTACTTTCCATTTCCTAAACCAGGGAATGGAACTTCTAACTCCACAAGTCAAAATCAGAAGTGCACTAGCCTTCCTCACATAGGGGGACCTCAGAAGAGATTTCATAATATTATTGACCTACCTCCTAAACAGTTTTCTACTCTGCCTTCTTCCTCCTCATCCCCCAAAATAATATCTCAGCTCAGATTCTCATCTTTTCTGCTTCCAATATGACAGCTCTGCTTCTAGAGCTACCTATCAGCTCTTCTTCCCCATGGCAACCAGGCAACTTTTAAATGGAAATCTTGTCAGTCCTCCTATTTAAAACCCTCAGTGGGGCTGGGGATTTAGCTCAGCGGTTTCAACGCCTGCTGTGCAAGCGCAAGGACCCGAGTTCGATCCCCGGTACCAAAAATAAATAAATAAATAAACAAAGCCCCCAGTGAATGTATTTATTACACCTCATAAACATGTACTAATAAAAAAAGGGAAAACAAAACAAAAAAAAACCCTTCCATGTCTTCCGTCATCATAGGTATAGCAAATTCAAATGCTTACAGATACAAGCAGATGCGAATGAGGGAAGCAGGCTCAGTCCACCTGCACATAACTGCTATGTGTCACAGGTTTTACAAGCCAGAGAAAGCATACTTAACTCTAGCTACCATTATCATATGTGAGTGAATATGGGTACAATGTAGATTTTTCTTGAGAACATGGAATCCCAGAATTTTATGTGCAATTTCTCATTTTTAAAATACTGGCTGAATAAAGCATGGAAGCATGAATATGTAATGTTGCTAGTCAGGAGGATGAGGCAGGAGGATTGCTTGAGCTCAAGAGCTCAAGGCCAGCCTAGGTATCAGAGAGATCCCATCTCAATCAATCAATAAAATATCAGCTCAACTGAAAAACAAAAACCTTTGGGATTGGTGGGTCCATGAAGGGGTTGTGAGCCACAAGTTTGGACCTGTGTTTGGCACAGCCTGATGCTGTCCATGTGCTGACCCCTTATCACCACTCCAGCTCAATCTCTTGCTACTCACCAACTCCCACACTGTATCTATGCTGAATTTCTTGCAGTTCCTAGAATGTACCATGCTCTCTTGCACATACTCCTAGCCCTGTATGAATACTATTCCCCTCTAATTTCACCTGACTAACTCTTTTTGATCGTTCAAGGTTTGATCTGTTGCCTCTTAGTCCAAGCAACTTTCCTAAAAACATCCAACTCTCTTCCTCCTAGAGTCTGGGACTGATGCCCTCTCTCTACTATTTCCACGTCTTCCTTCCCCATTGACAATTCCTTAAGGACAATGTGATACTGCTGATCCGCATTTGTTCTCCCAGATCCTTGCTCACTCTTCTCTGTCCCCTAAGAGGCTGACATTTATGAACTACACCACTTAGACTCTCCTGCCAGCTGGCTTCCAGGGGCTTCAGGCAATAGGACAAGGGAGGGAGGAGAAGAAAAAGACAGAGGACTTCTTCTTCCTCTCTGGGTATTATTAACCCATCCCTTGGCAACTACTGTCCTCCACTTAAAGGCTCCAGCCCTCTTGGGGTCTGGTAACACTATCTTGCCCTTGCCCCCTGGCCCCTAGGGTTAGTAATAATTTCTCATCTTGCTAGTTTCCAAGTATCAACAATACCCTCCATTTTCTCCCTTGACCTTTAATTTCTCTTGACTCCTCATGTAAACCACCTAGTGAAGTCTGTTTTACTCACCCTCCCATCTAGAGCCTTCAGAACACTGTCTGTTAAACACTGTCCACTAGATGCTGAGTTCAATGCAACTCTTATGCATACTACATCATTTTCATTATGGCAAAAACCTCCATAATTTAGAATAGCTAAGGGAAAAGGTTATTCTTTCAAAGAGTGAGAAACTGAAAAACAGGATTTTTAAACAAAATTTTTGAACTGTTGTTTGCACTTACATATAATAAAAGCAATATCACCAAAACATATGCTACATAAAATCCATATTTAAAAAAATACAGTTGGAATCAAAATCTATTGTGCTAATTGCTCTTTTCAGACACAAATCAAATGTTTACTTTTTCTCTATGAAGGCTTAGTGTTAAGTCTATTCTTTGGAAGAGTTAATAGTGAAATACAAATACTGTATACAAAGGTTACTCACCCTGAATACAGTGCCTTCAGCCCTTCTTCTCTGCCTATCCTCACTAAGGCATGCAACATTCCTCGATACCTGACTTCTCTAAAGTTTGCGTCATTGCTCTGGCCTTGAATCTGGAGCCGTGTCTTGGTTAAATCGATTGGAAATGTGCCTTAAAATTTAAAAAAAAGGAGTATTTCACTTAATAAAAAGAAATTCAATAAGTATATAGAGTGATGTATTACTAAGGAAGCATTCAAACTATAATGTAAAATAAGAAGCATTAAGAAATGGTAGGAACTGTGCGATCTTTTTGCTATTAAAAAATTATGAAACCAAAAGGTTAATGAAACCAAAAAATGGATAAATTTCTTCCTTTACAGTGTTATGTATACATCATCTTATTCTATAAAGGATTAAAGGAGGTTGCATTGCTATAGAAAATAGATAACTAGAATCATTCACACAAATAGGAAATCCATTTAAAAACCAAAGTTACTATTCTATATGTATATGAAGACTAAAATTTAATGCATCTGAAGAGAGGTAAATTCACTTTCTAAAGGAGTTTTTCACTTAGGAAAGACTGCTTTATAGTCTAAAATTAAATCTGATAATGCAG